TAAGATTAGTAGTAGTTTTTTTGTTTTTATTTTTTATTTTGAAACATCTGTTTTCTTTGTTTCAAAACTTTCCTCCTGGTTTTCTCTTGACAGATAATAAAAACATTTTATTTAAATGTTGTATTGTGTTGTCAGTTTATCATGTCTGTACTGATGCTTTTGGTAAATGTGACACAGCTGTGGCTGCAGTTGAAGGAAACTTGTTGAGTTGTGTTCATTGTGTTGCTTCAGTAAGGACTTTCATTCTTGCTGCATGAGACACCTGTCTGTGGTAAAACACCAGATTATTCTGGGGTTTTGTGTAGCATTGGTGGTTTTTGTAGCCATGGCATAAAGTTGTACAGATTGTCTGTAAATTACACAGATTTTCAACATTATATGCTGTTATGTCCGCGGCCAGCAGTCTGCTCCAACAATTTGCATGTTCTCCTTGTGCTTGCGTAGGTTTTCCCCGGTTAACTCCCACAGTCCAAAAACATGCATGTTAGGCTGCCTCAGGCTTCCTTACAAATGAGATCTGTGATTTCAGTGGGATTTGCCTGGTTAAACGAAGGTTAATAAACATTCAAGCTCATGTTCTAAAACTGCACATCTTCTTTCCAGCTCAGCTGTAATCATCACACCCTCAGCACACAAAAAACMAGCAGCTCAGACTGCACCCTCCTCTGATGGTATTTAGGTAAATGTCAAACGCACAAGTAACATGGTCACACAGACATTTTGGTCAATTGCTGTCTGCGACCAAGTCATCTGGTAGTAAAACACAAATATTATTTGATTGTCACCTTGCATGGTACGGATTTAAAACAAAAAAGATCACATATAATCTGTGATGCATTGAATGGTTCAGGAATTGCCCTTGGCTACTGCCAAATCCAATTTTGGTTCAAAATTTGTGAAAGTGGCAGTGTTATATGTGTAAATTGTTCTATTGCGGAAACAATAAAACCACATTTAAAAGATGTTGTTTTAGAGCTATCAGTACTTCTACAGAGGAAAAGATTGATGGCACTAGGGATAAAAGTAACTTTTGCTCCTGACAACAACACATGGTCCTCAAGTCATTCACTGCTGGAGGAGCTACACATTAAAGAACAAAGTAAGGACACAATTATTATTCTTAGCACTGAAAGGAAGTTTGCCAAGTTGCAGAGCATCAACAAAGAATCAATCTGAGCCTCCAACATGCAGGTTTCAGGGCTCACATCCAGTGTAATAAAACAGAAGATGTATTTATCACATCGCCTTTTCATCTCTTGCTCCTCCTGCTCCTCTTACAAATAAATATCACCTTCTTTTCAGGGAGAAGGTCACTGTGTCCGTACCAATAACTACAAGCACATCAAGAGCAAAAAACTGTTTTAAGCAACTAATTATACTAAATCTTATTACCAGGGAGGTTCTATAGAACAGCTGGAGTGCGCAGAAACCACGTGACCGTGTGATCGGCTGGAGAAGCTAACGGCTAACTCTAAACGGTCAAGAGTCTGGATTTCCCATTACTGTACATGTTGAYAACAGAGCAGAAAAAAAGGACTGACAATGTAGAAAACATTAAAACTATTAATAATTATACTAACCCAATTAATATTAATATTTTACAGTTTAWATAATMTATCTAATGTTTTAAATAATGTCAGAAAAGYKKTTTGTGTTATGGATTTATTAACAGAAGATAAACAGGAAAATGTCTCATTTTACAACAAGTCAGCAGATTTGATCTTATTTAGCTTAATGTGATCTGAGCAGAACATAATGTAACAGTTTAAAATTAAAATAATCTTATAAAGTCACTGTAATCACTCTTTTTTTATTGAACTGGTTAGCAGATATTAGCTTGTGGAGCATATATACAGAGTTTAGCTCTGTTGAATCATGTTACAATTTAACACAAACTATTAAATATTACTTTGTCCTCTGATTAATATTTAGACCTACAGAGTGTAAAATAATATTATAAATGTGAGTATTTTTAGGTTTCTGTTAGAGGAATCTGACTTGTTAAGAAGATGGTTAGCTAATAGAGACAAGTTTCATCCTATAACCAGAGAACATTTTCTGTCGACTGGTAAATATAAATATTCTTATTTTTTATGACATTAAGAAGAAATAATAAATATACTTTAGCTAGTTGACAAATTATGACTTCAAAGTCTAAGTTACAGGCTGACTTCAGGTCTGGATTAGATCATTGTTACTTGAAAATTATATATTTTACTGGTATAAATCTGCTGTTTTACATGATTGTTGAATGAAATTAACATAATTATTAATTTATTGTAAACACATAACTGATAATCTGTGAAACAGATCCAGTTCAGCTTGTTGTTTATCTATTAGTTTCTATGGAGGCTGTGAGCTGTTGTCCTGTTTAGTCTCGGTTTCTGCTCCTCTATGCTGTCAGGCTACCAGTGGACGGTATGGGCGGGGCTCAGTCTAGTGATATTTAAGTCTATGCTTATTAYGCTTTAAATCCCTTACTGCAGTGTGTGGCAAGGAAAGATGCAGGATTTGGATTTTGTATGTTATTTATTGTTCTCATGAATTCAAAGACTGCAAGATTAAAAAAAATAAAACTTCATTGTGTGTAAAAAGTAGATGATGAAAAATGTATGACGTGAAGTTTATATAATGAGTTCATGCTGAAGGAATATCTCAACGTCAAAAAGTATTACAAGCAAAATATGCAAAGTAGGAACTCAGTCAAAATCTCCTTTTATATTTGACATTTCGCATCACTAATGCAGAGGTTGCTGAATGATTGGCAACAAATTGGATCAACATGTATTGCATTTTTTTCTTCTTTTGTGATAAAGCAGAGTTTAAATTAAAGGAACCTCTGATCGAGGCAGTTAAACGACACCTTTTTAACAAAACAGTGCACACTAACAGCAGGTCTGCTTATTCTGTTTTCTTCTGATAGTTTTTAAAATAATTCCTTTTAATCCTTAAGGTTTTCTTTGTCAACAGCATTTCCTTCAGTTGCTAGTGTTTGATCAGATTTTTCACAATACTGAGAAGAAAATTAGTAACAAAAACAGYAACAAAAACATTTGCAATTAAAACCTTTAAAAGTTTATTCTGAACTTCAGATTCTGAAGATTGCATTGGTCATAAATTCAAGTTGCCGACTAAAAATAAAAAAGCATTTTAAGATAAAGACAATTCTAGTGACTTTCCATAATTTTTTATTTGTTTTTTTTTCTCAAACTCAAAAATACCCAAAGTAAAATTCTAATGTGTTTGTGTTTTCATTTCATTCTTAATCTGACGCTTGCTTGTCACAAAAAAGCACCGCTCCAGGAATAGACAACACACATACAAATTCTAAAGAGAAAGCTATTCAAACACAAGCGGATACATCTGTTAACAAAAACGAGGTGCCATCAATGGAGGGACAGAAAAGAATAGACTTCCCATAAATTCTGTCCAGGAGGAGTTTAGAGGTGGGGCTCAAGAAAAAAAGATATAGTCGATCAGGGAGGGAGGAGACAATACCTCTGTCTCTRTTGATCACTAAAACTCTGAGGATCGATCACCAGTGTCCCCTATCACCCCACAGCAGAGCAACTTAACCCAAAGCAAATAATGGCAGGCTCTGACTCCAGAAGTCCATGCCTCCTCTTCACAAGTCAATCTGGACCCTAGTACTCAGTTTTGCAAACCACTCAGTTTGGCAGAGCAGGTGAAAATAAAATTTAGGGTTTAGTGTGGAAAAAGAGTTGCAAACATTAATTTACTTGTTTATTGGTGACAAATTTCCTCAACAAAAAGTAAAATCCATGATGTTTTTAATCAAATTGCATTACTGATTGTTCTGTTGAAAACTTCTGCACGGCTGGGTGGTCAATTGATAGGGACTGCAGGTCACTTCAAGTAAAACAAGCTTTTTACAGTAATGTCTAAACAACCGCTGATGCCATATTGGGATAATCAGTTCCAAAAAAAGTGTTGTTTTTTTATTCTCATAACATTAACAACCAGCTGGTTGAGGCAGATGGCCGTTCATCCCGAGCCTGGTCCTGCTGCAGGTTCCTTCCTGTTAAAGAAATAATTATTTTCTCTGCTGTCATCTACTGCCCTCAGGAYGAGGACTGAATGAGTGACGTTTCAGTTCAAGCTATTGGCTTTCCTCTGCTAGACAACCTTTTCCAAACTAATGTTTGTTATAAGGCAGCATGGCCACTCAATGGTTAGAACTGTCACTTCACAGAGAGAAGGTTGCAGGATCGCCTCATGGCCTGGGGCTTTCTGTGTGGACTTTTCATGTTGTCTCCATGCATGGGTTTTTTCTAGTTACTCAGGTTTTCTTCTGCAGAACAAAAACATGCATTTCAGGTCAACTGGTCACTTTAACAGCTCTTTTTGTTTTTATATGTACCTTTGAATGACTTTTCCACAATGTRCCTYGTCTTTCACAAAGTCACAGCTGAAGATCGACACTAGGGCTGGGTTRGGACATGGCAATTCAATACRATACAGAACTCACGATACAATACGATTCTCAATACAATGCAGCTCAATTTGATTTAAATACATGTTAATTTATACTTACTGCTCACTGCCAGTGACTCGACAAAATCAGCAAAATATTATAAAGGGATATTATATATTTTTCATTATAAAACTGTGTCCAAATGTTTGCTTTTAAGAACAAAGGCGCTTTCAGAATACTGCTGGCCATTTTGCTGACTCATGGACCTCCCTTGCAGCTTTCTCTTCTTTGCTCTGAACAGGATTTGCACATCATTATACTGCCCCCTAAGGGTTGGAGGGATATATCAATATTAAAAGAAAGAAAATCGATACAATATTTTTAAAGAAATGGATATATATTGATTTTTATGCAAAGCCCTAATAGACATCAGCTCTGTTTTGACCCAGAAAGGAAAAAGATTGTTATAAATATTTCACTGACATTAGATTAAATTGAATGTTTTGAATTGGATTGTAAATTGTCCAGGATGGTGCAGGAGATTAAATTAAATTGCTTTTTCATATTCATACAACCACTGCATTTATTGTAAAAAAAATAATATATATGGCAGTTGTAAAATCAAAGGTCCTGTTAACTCAATTTTCCCACTTCTACTGCAGTGACACTGAAGTGCACTCGAACACAACCTCTGTCTTTCACATGTTTAAATAAAACTATTTTACAGATCATTTCAAACCCTTGACTCTTCATCAAACTCAGATTAAACACACATTAGCTATTTGAACACATTATGCAACCTGGGGTGCCCTTTGGGTTTTATGTATGGTTTGTCACACAGTGTGAGTGTTTAAGACCCAAACAAAGACCCAGTCTCTGGAGACATGATGAATAAAAGAATATACCAAGATAATGACAGCATTGTGGTCTACTGTAAGCCGGGAGTTTAATTACAATGGATCAACATACAAAATTAGATATACTGGAATGCTTTTTACATCTAATTTAGCACTGTCAGATACATTTCCTGATTTGGGTACTTTATAAACTGGAAAATGAAATGCCTACACCATTCATCAGCTACAGCTTTTGACTGCAAAGTGTAATCATGACTGTAATACACTACATGGCACAGCGGAGTTCACTGTTTCTGCTGTGCATTACAGCAATGGGAGGGTTGAGTTAGGGATTGTCTGCTCTCTGAGCACATCACCTCACATCAATCAATGTCCAACTGTCCCTCGTTCTCTCCATTGGAATTGGCTTTCCTTTGCCCTCAAAAAAACATAAATAAATAGACACAAGTACCCACATAAACTCACAGAAGAAGACCCTGAAGAGCGGCTTTCCCATTGCCCCAGCACACTCCAAGTAGCATGTCAGCTCTGATTATTAGCACTGTTCATTGCTTGCTGCAGGAGTTTCTATTTTAGAACTGTTTTTCCCCCTCTTTTAACACAAAAATGCTGTTATGGTAAAAGTTAACACTTTATATTATTCCCTAAAATTTTAATTTGTAAGCTTGTGCATCAATGTAAAATAATAATAAAATAATAATAATAATAATAATAATAATAATAATAAAAGAAAAGAAAAATATTATGTTATATACCACAATATAAAATTACCAAAAGCTACAAACTGCGTGAAAACTAAGTACATTCTTACTTCTTTTATATGAAAAAGGAGAGGAAGCAACCAGGTGAGGCTAAATGAAGCACTTGAATACCTGACCATAAATAACTGTAAGCACCTCTACAAAGGCTAAAGTTGCAGCACTTTGGAGGTTCCTCCTGTGTGTCAACGTGGTACCAAAGGGGATAAATATCAGTAATGATCTTAGAAATGCTCTTGTAGTTTCTCTTCTTAATGAGAAACAAAGAACTGCAAAAACAATGTTCTCTGATGACAAAAGATATTTAATTGTGGAAAACATTTAAGGAAGTTGTACCTTAGAAGTGAATATCCTAGCATGCTTATTCTAAAGTCAAACTGTGAAGTGGTGATGGGAATTAACATTCTGATCATTTGGCACAGCTCACTAAGAATAAATGACTCTTTTGGCTTCCAATAAGTTCTTCAATTTGTACTGCATGTTGGGAGTCTTTAGGAGCTGAAAAAGATGGCTCTGAACCAGTTAGCTTCCCAAGCAATACTCAAAAAGCAAACTCTTAGGGAGCTTTAATGCCTATCAAATATGCTGAGAAATTTCAAAACACAAAAGAGTTAWATCTCAGAATCTATAGGTCCTGGTGAACATGGTAAAGTTAATTAAAGTACAGTTGAGTAAATTGCWTGTTTGGATGAGGTACCAGTAGGAATTCTCAAATCTTAAACAAAACAACATTTGCACACTCTGGAACAACATCCATTRGAAATCAATACATGAAAGAAAGTGTTTGAATTTATTGCTGCTTCATTTGGTAAAAAATAAAAATAAAAGCCAAGAAAACACAAACCAACAGTTAGACCATGTTGAGAAAAGTTATTGGTTTATTTTATACAGGGCCTGGACACTTTTTATTTTACTGAGTCAACCAAGAACTTCTTTGTAAACCAAATTATTTTGGTCCAATGTGATTCCATCAGTCTGAAAGCAACAGTATATCTTGACTAAAATTGGGTTATAAAACAGCGAAACTATTCAAAGCACAACAATAAACCTACAACAGAATCACTAAAAAAAAGAATCAAAGTTTTGCAAGGACTCAAAGACAAAGTCTAGACTTGATTAAAAWGCTGTGGAGGGATTTCAGGAGAGAATAAACAAATGTGTGCAAAACCTCCAATAAGCTGAAGCAACATTGTTAAACAGAATGGGTCAAAAGCTCTTTCCAACAATATAAATGTCTGATAAGATCACACAAAAAAACAATTAATCCATGTTATTGATGTTAGAGATGGTTTCACAAGATAGAGATTATTGAATATTAAGTTGAGCTTGGTTTTTAATACATTTGGATTATTTTTGCAGCAAAATAGCAACAGTGAAGTTATCAGATGCTGCAGTTCAACTTTGGTTGTATTTACTTGATGTCAACTGCAAATAATTTCTGGATGTGCAGTTTCTGTGATCATAACATCTGATTCAGTCTGKTGAAAGTCTAAATATTGCCACAAATATTCCCTAAAGATGCTTCAGGGAAAAACTGCATTTTTTATGCCGACTA